GACAGTCTACCCAGCAAGAAACAGAAAACGTGATCGAAGTTTTGATGTTGCAGCTAGGTAGAGAAAAATAATCATTTCTGATCAAAACAAAACAAACCCGATCGAAAAACGTTTTGTTTTGATGAAGCTATGGGACTTTTACTGAAAGCACCACCACATAGACCGAATCCACGGTTGACTTTTCTTTTTTGTGAAGCACATTTCTAAGCCTATAAGTTTCTTACTAGATGAACTAACGGGGTCAATCAATCGTCATTTTGTAGAGTGTTTTTTACTGCATCTTTTCTTCATAGAGACAAATTTACAACCACTTGTTTCACTATAGAAAAATTTATTATTCAAATCGAGTCAGGACTTCTGGCCCACCCTTTATGTACAATTCAAAACAGATAACTTACGCCAACGTTTTGAAAAATTAATCAGTGTTTCCGACACGTCACAACTGCTATTTCCGTATGATTCTTGGTATCCAACATTTGAACAAGTGAAGATGCAAAGCTTCAAAATCACACTGGTTTATGACTGTCGTATGCCCTTCGATGACACAGTCACAACGTGTAGTCAGTGTTTCAATTACTTACATCATTACCACCTTATCGAGCACCATAGCCACTGTAAAGCAATACTTCTCAAAAGCCCATTGTACACAAAAGAAACTGAGGAAAATCTGCGATTTCAAAAGCAATTGACATCTCGTCCAAAATGTAACGAGCAGTCAGCACTAAGATCGCAAGCAACCGACACTCAGGAAGAATCTGACAGCAGAAAACAGTCATCGCCAATGTCAAAAAGAATCGAGAAACAAGCGAAATTTGGAAATAGGGAGCAATTGGCACAAATTGCACAGGTGGGTTTATACATATATGTTTCAATGTCTTTAAAATTAAAATTTTTTTTTTATAGAAAGTAGCAGAAGCAGAGTGCGAAGTTGTGGAGAACACATTACTTAAGTAATGTGTTCAACGTTACTATATAGTAACGTTGATTTTGGTATGAAAATGCTGAGTGGTGTCAGCAATGAAACTGCTACGACTGTAAACAACGCTCGTGAAGAAATTGTTCGACCTCCACCAAAATCTGCCGCACCTCAGATTCAACATCATAAAAAGTTGTCTTCTGATGCGATGTATACGCTAACACCCACATGTTCAAACATATTGAAGAATGAAGCTTGTAATATCATCTCCGATCTAAATAAAAGAAAGATACAATATGTCGATGTTGATAAAACGACACAATTTGAACTGTTTGGTGAGGGTGCCGGTAATATATTGATTACCCAAGCAAAAACGACCCAATTTTTTGGGTTATTTATCTAGATTCAACTCCACGTACATCTAGATGCACGTGGAACTGAATCTAGATAAATAACCCAAAAAATTGGGTTGTTTTTGCTTGGGTAGCAATGTATCTGATGATGTAGGTATAGATCACTTTTGTAACACATTTCTATAAAGGGAATTGACCCTTCTCGAGTTTATTTCCTCATAAAACTGAGTATAATATGACTATACAAATGTGAAAATCAGCAAAAGCAATGAATAGTATCGAGAGAGTTCATCGATGATATACACAGAGAAAAAGATAGAGAAGCAGTGAAGTGGGACGAGAAGTCATGAACTGTGCAAGGGAAAGAAATCTACTGTTATGAGTTGGCGAAAGGTGTATGCAGGGTTAAGAGCTAGTAGAAGGAAAAGTTCATTATGTTGAATAGTTCAGTGAAAGATGAGGCAATGAGGAAACGGAAGATGACCCTTTACAATTTCTATTTTTATCAGGCAACATTATTTGCAGATTAATAAATCGACGATCGATGACAATACTGATGATATTCTTAACACTTGGAGAAAGTCACCAGTCAAAAAAATTGTGACAGCTGCAACGGTATTTACTCTATACATTTTTTCTATAACGGAATAACAAGGAAATTTCAACGTCGTTTAGAATTTATTTACGCAAAAAAAATTATGCGCCCATAATCAATGCAATCAAGAAGAAGATTTCACTGAATCCGAACAAACAGTGTTGAATACTCTTCAACGTCGGACGGGTAAAAAGTTGAAAGAAAATATTCTCAACAATTCCACCATACAAGTGTCAGATCCTGATATGGTGAAGTTTCGTAGACTTTTCGAAGAACGTAACATGAAACATGTGATTAAATCTTCTTCGAGTGTCGACAGCATGAATGAAGATGTCGATGATAAGAACAAAAAATTACGATAAAAAACCAAGAAGAACTTGGCATTTTCAATCGCACACACCGCAACATAATTTCTTGAAACCTTTTTTCCTGAAAATACTCTTTTGGCGTGCAAGTCTGGATAAAAAAGTGCGTATTTGGAGTCTGAAAACGACAGAAACCCAATTACGGTATTACATGGACATTCTCAAAAGGTCAATATGACAACGGTAAGTTAGTTTTCATCTCATATACTATTATATGATTACTATATTTATATGATAACACTGTTTACTTTGTTTTAGGTTTCACCGTTTTGCAAAACCGATGATCGTTCATTGCACTAGAGATCATCCAAAGAAGTGCCCATTAAAAGCCATTTCAACATATATCATTGAAACACGCTAATTTTCATGGTAAAATCAACCCGTCATGTGAATTTTTTTGTACCAAATTTTTTTGTTATATCCACTACATCCTCATGTTGAAATAAAAAACCAAGAAGAACTTAGCATTTTCAATCGCACACACCGCAACATAATTTCTTGAAACCTTTTGGCTTACAAAAAAATATTAAAACGGCTCTACCATATGAACGAAAAAAAACTTGAAAAACTGTCGAAAAAAAAGTATACAATTTGAACATATATTATTGAAGCAGGCTGCTTTCCATCTGAAAACCATGACGCATGTTTACCAAGCATGGTATGTGTACGAAACTAACTTTATCGTATTCAGGGTATAAAACTGTATCCGAAAAGTGTTTTTTGGAGTACGCGCTGTGCATATGAACTGTACAACTTAAACCTCTATTATTGAAGCAGGCTGTGTTTGATGATAAAATCCATGACGCATGTTTACCAGACGTGGCATGTGAACGAAACTAACCTTATCTTATTCGGGGTATAAAATTGGTTACAGAAGGTGTTTTTTGAATACATTCTACGCGCATTAAGTGCTATATGATTGCTAATTCGCTTGTGCTGTGATTAGCGGTTGCTGAGGAAAATAGTTGGTATTATCTGGATTGTTTTTCATTGGTGCACGACTTGCTGCCTAATGATTGGCTGTTGTGCTAGCTTCTCAATGATTACTTTTTGATATAAATTCTACCATAACGGACTTCAAAATCCTACCCCTATTCTTACTTTTTGATTTTTGCTATTACGAAGCCTGTTTATTTATTTAGGAGAAATGTTGAAAATATCAGTACAAATTATGCGAAGAAGGAGGCGAACCCATTACATCTTAACATAAATTGACTGAGGACAGAGGGCAGCACTAGAATACATGTATAGAAACGATACACGGCGACAACATACAAGAGAGAAAGTAATGACAACAACAATAATAATAATAATAAAAACAAAAAAACAGAATAATTGATGGACAATGGGGAAAACAGGATATCGTGAAATTAAAATCTTTGTGTGTCGTGAATAAATGTAGTTACGATTTTATATAGTTCATTCGTTACTTTTACTAAAGGTAAATAAGGCTATGCATTACTTTTACGAAAGCTGTTTAAGCATATTTATTGCTGTTACGAAAGGTGCTTAAAGGCACCAGGAACTTTTATGAAAGGGTTCGCACATTCAGTAGTTTTCCTTACGAAAGCTAATAAAGGGTATACGAATTACATAAACACCATATAATCGAAGCGAAAGTCAGTATTCTGCAAATGAAGAGACCAGCATCAACTAAGAAAGCCTTAGAATAAACCCTTATTAATTGTATGAAGTCTCATTTAACGCACGAATCTGCCATCTATCAATCGAATTGTATCATGTAATGATGACTAGATAAAAGAGTTTGCGACAGAAATTTGGTAAAATCACACCAAACACTCTAACATGTTAATCAACTCAGATGTTATACTATGTGATCATTGCAAATGACAAATGAAGATGAGACTTATGATCGAATATGTGACGCTGGAGAAGATTTTGAGGCTTGTACTTATTAGTGTTAACTACACTCTTGATCAGTACAGACTGATTTCGAACAAGCCTTAGTGACTTGCCTTGTTTATTGGCATGTCTTAATGGCTTTAGTAGAACCCAGAAACACTTTAGATGAATTCCTTGTAGTGACTCATCGACGTGGTATCTTCTTAGAATTCTTTGTTGGACTTCTTGGAATTTTCTTGGTAATGATGCCTTGAGATCAGTGGTTTTCGGTAGCGAGCTTTGATGTATGAACAGTTATTTACGGTTTTTAAATAAATTCGTCTTTTCTTACGTTGCACATCTCACATTGAAGAGACTTTTGGAGTCCTCGAGATTACCACCATCACCCTCACACATTAACGTTACTTTACTTATTATGGATCGATCACACATAACTGTTACGTCACAAAAGATTTCTTCATTCCCATTACAGCATTATGTGTAGTCTACAATATCTTATCGTGTCGCGTCTGTTCAAATACAGCTCAAAAATGTTTGTGAACATTCTGAGATCCCATATTCATCGTTCATTTCAAACAAAATAAGCGGTTTTCACCAAACTTTGGTTAAATACTCAAAAGTAAAATGTGTTCTGACATAAATGCCTCCAAAGCTCGATCTTTTTTCGAACCGTAAAAGTCATAATACGCAAAACCATTATTTAATCAGCGAATATTGTGAATTGTGGAGTGCTTTAATTTCTTTATGAACGTAATGTACAACGGTGGGTTGTCAAGTCTTGAATTTTGAACTAATACACAAATAACTTCTCGTATAAACTTTTCATTCAGTCAGTACAAAACCAGACTTTCAAAGCCAAAGATGACAGATGAGTTGGTGATCGAATTGGATAGTGCCGCACGGTTACTATTAGAATCATCCCAGATTCTTCGACAAATTTTAACAAGATCTTTCGCTAAATCGGTCTACTACTAATCAGACTAGATCACATTCGTAATTATGACCAAACGATGAACGATTTCCTATTTGCATATGAAAGCCATTGCAGAACTAAAATAATCCTTTTTGTGTAGTGTATAGGGCTGGTACTTTTCCGCTACTTTTCATTATTTTGCTGTAAGAAGTAACGGTTGTGCGATACTACTTATTAGCAACGGTAACGATAATCCGTTATCTGTTACCGATAACGGGTAACAGAAAACGGTAAAAGATTCTTTTTTTTGTTTCGGTAAATCCTTCTTTATTTTTTTAACTTCTGTAACTGATGAAAAAATTAGTTTTCAAACATTCCTTGTTTAGACATTGAAAACTGTGTCAAATCTAAGATTCAGTTACTTTGGAATAACATTATTCTCTGAAACAGAAGCAGGCTAATTTTAGAAATAACTGTAATTCTGTAAGCGTCATATACTATTGCGCTAAATAAGTCTTGTGTTGATTTAGGAAAGATATAAGTGGGAAATTATTAGAATGAAACATTTACTTCCAGAAGAAGTTCTGAAATATTTTGATGTAATTAGAGCACGAACTGTTTCATAATTCCGAGTGTATACCCAGGTAAAGAAAAACAAGTGCTCTCTAAAAAAAAAAGGTACTCTACCGAACCTAAAAAGGGTTTAAACATTTGTCACCATCTATATACCTTTTTAAGGTTTCGTACAAACAGGGTTCGGTATTGTATCTGCTTTTTTTGTAACCTAATAAAGGTTTCGTATAACACTATCGCTCACGTCAGAAGAGGGTTTGGTACAGTATTTCACCAACAAAAGA